ATGTTTACTGGTCAGTAAAACAGAATTTCGTATCGTACAAATAATGACTTTTAATACTTTGACTGATAATAACAAATACAAAATACGTCTTAATGTTCTTGTTAACCCTTGCCACAATAAATATCCAAATCATTCGATATGGGCAAAATTATTCAACATTTTTTGAGAAAATTTCAAAACATTGACTTGATAGCGAATATAGTTCAGACCACGATCAGACACATTACGGAAGTGCCGACTGATTTTGGTCTGCACAGGTCGAATGAGTCTAGTTATTTCCCGCCCAATTTTCACAGTATGTCATGCTATCTGACATGTCCGACATAGGTATTATTATATTATTAGAATTATTATACATGTAGTTTAATTGTTTTTTTTTGTTTTGTTTTTTATTTGTGTGTATTTTTCCCCTCAATTTTTTTATATTATTTTGTTTCCTTTCAAATTAATTGATAACACACCAGAGTTCAGTTGATCAACAGAATTTTAATGATACATGTACCAATTCAACATAAATCCTCCCAACTCGCCAGGTTCGATATATCAACCACAAAAGCACGTGCTCGTAAATATAACAAGGATTTTCATGTTATGATTCATAATCACGTGAACAGAATTTGTTGTTTGTAAATTAAGTACAGCGAAATCCATCATATAAACTTATGGGTAAAATAAATCAGAGCTAATTTGGAAGAAAAACAGGGTGCAAGCTATTACGTTTATTGTTGTATTTGTACATATTTCTTAAAGAAGATTCACTCACGTAAAAGTTAAAAACTTGAAATTCAATTCAATTGAGTTTAGAGATAGTTTTGATCTAATTTATTTCTTTAGAAATACTTAAATTTTTTTCACAATCTGAAAGGGCAGATTTGATAGCATATTTAATTGATGTTGTGATCAAAATACACAAGTAATATGTCTTTTTCTTTCATACAGGTGTATTTCTTGTTCGACATACATTTTATTTTCTTCTGAAATACAAGATACATAATTTCGATTTTGTTCATGTGGCCATAAAATTAATATCAAACGAAATACTATACAAGGCAAAATTACATGTATAAATCTAAAAACTTACTGAGTCTGCGCATGCGTCCTATATCTTGTGCATCAATAATTACTGAAATGATATTGATACAAAAATTAATATTTAAACAATAAAATGCAATAAATGTAAGCATTATGTTCTAATAGTTAGTGTGCTCTTTTTAAAAAAGTTTGGATCTTTTTGAAACACAATCGTTTGCATTCAGCTTAGTTTCTCAGCAGATATCATGACTGATGCATTCAACAGACAACACTTTGATGCACACATTATAGATACTAACTTGCACACTAACCTTTATGGCAGTAAAGAAAACATTAACCGATAACGACAAATTAAATGTCCTTTACTATTCAAAATAAGGAAATATTACAAATTTTATTTCAAAGCTTTACAGTTAGAGAGAAAAACAAAAAAATAAAGTGCAAATGGAAACAAAATAAAAATCTTACCAGACAAAAATACAATTCCAATAAACGTAAGAAGTAGTTTCTCCATTGCCATAGTAATTTAGAATTTTCGATTATTTTCGATATTATTAAAAAAAATAGTCCTCTCTGATACAGCAAATCACGGTTATTACTAATAACAATCAATTTATTTTTTATATTTTCTGTATTTATACGTGCTAAAACATTGGTGCGCGACATGTTTTATTGCGTCACGTGATAGAACGAGAAACCATGCTAGATTCATAATCACTTATGTCAAAACATACAATTAAAAGAGTTAGAGTATTATGACTGTTATCATTAGGCCGATATTATTCTTGTGGAAGTAACGTTTGTGCCCGTGGCCTGGTCTTGTCAACATGTCCCGTATTGTAATCATTACAAAACAGTTACCGCAATTAATTACTTCTTATATAATTATTTCCACGATTTTGGACAATAAATTCAGTGAAAGACGAGCCCTAGAAATGATACATTTGCATACACAGATAGTATTAACAATAAATAATTGTTTACTTTACTCATAAAGCAAATACATGAAATACAATAAAGACGTAATTAAAACAGTTTTATTGCTAGGCTGAAGAAACAAAATTAACTGGAAGAAAACTTTGTAAAAATGGAAAAAGACTTCTCTTAAATGTAAATAACATGCAGTCGTGAAATATTCGCACATACACACAAGACATACACAGTACCTTGCAAGTTCACACCTCAAAAGGTATACCACGTCGATGCTATTGGAAGCGATTAGTAAATTTCTACTTGAACAGAAAGAAAGAAAGAAAGAAAGAAAGAAAGAAAGAAAAAAATTGGGTTTTCAAAGTCGAGTGATCAGTACGTTACTCTCCTAATTTGCCAACAAAGCATTTACTTCACAACTAAACGGGTAGAAAACATGGTGTTCAAATAAAAATTCGAACAAAATATTGCAAAAATTTGCACAGCAACACTTACACTTAGTTCCTAAAGAATGTGCGCGCTTGTTTCAAAATTGTAAATATTTCCGTATCTATAGCAAACGTTTCAGTTTCAATTTCTCGTACATAATTTAAAGTGAATCTTTAAGATCGATCTTTGCCTTGCAGATTACATGTGATCGGATATCAAAATTGGTACCAATTATAGAAAAGATAAATAAACTGTATAGTATTTCAGAAAAAAAACCCTAAGAACATCACAAAATATGAAGTCCACACCTTCATTTGGAACTTAAATATATAGATTAAACATATTTTTTACATTTCTAAATTTCATATTTATAAGTTTCTTAATTATATTTGTTAATTAATTCCCTTGAATGCTATTCGCCACAAAATTTAAATACCAGGATATTGTTTGACGCAATAAGGAGCAAATAGCTTAAAAATAGCTTAAAACATTTTTACCCAATCGCCCTTAATTTCAAATGTCTTTGATACAAACAATTTACCCTTTAGCGTCTTCGTTGTCCAACAGATGACCGTACATCAACAGATACTTTTCGCATAACTTGTAATACCTCTCCTCTGGTCGCCATTTTGAACCTTTTCGGAATGACAGTAAGTTGGTATATGAAAACAGCAGGTAAACCAAATTTTAAATTGTGAAAGTTACGCACTTTATGACCAGAACTGACATCTAACTCTTTTCTCTAATTTCCCCGTTACCTCGGATGGCGTCCGAATATTTTATCTTAGATGTCTTTCGCTCGACTAACTCATTGATTGACTGGACTGACTGACTTTATAAATTACAGACTAAGTGGGTGACAAAATGACTCGGCTTTCTCCGACATACTAACTTATTCTCTGACAGACTGATCCTCAGACTGACCTATTCCATAACTTACTGACCCTCAGACTTATTCCCTGACTAAATAACCCTCAGACTGACATAATCATTGACAGACTGACTTATTTCCTGACAGACAGACCTATTCCTTAAGTTACTGGCTTCCAGACTGATTCCCTGATTGACTGACCCTTAGACTGACTTATTCTTTGATAGACTGTTCCTCAGACTGACTTATTCTCTCACTGGGTCTCAGACTGGTTCTCTGACAAAATGACCCCAGACTGATTCATTCCCTTATTTGCTGACCACCAGACAGACTTGTGATGGTGTTTATAGTTTTCACTCCGGATCACGGCAGAAAACCACATTGAATTAACCAGAGCACAGTTCAGCCACCGCATTGTTCCTGGGCAGGCTGTCAAGCAGTTTACCACTACTAGTTGCCTTCACTTTCGCAAGGAATTGATTACTTCTGTACATGCGAGACTGACTTATTCCCTGACAGACTTTACAATCTTTTAAAAACAACTGTAAAATTTATTTTCTAAGTTTACAGTTAGATACATGATGAAAATTGATCTTTATATTTTAATTGTTGTAAATGTTGATATCATCATTTTTTCTCTCTTTTTTTTAATCATTACGAGTTTATCTCTAATTACCATAATAAATAGGAGTGTAAGTCGGATGAATGAATAAAAATTATCAAACCTTTACATTAATTTTTTTCCTTTTTTTCTATATACCAAAAGATTTTAAATATTTGTATAGATCTACATTTTTTTCTTTGTTATTGTTAAATCAGAAGGCCATACTAAAAATAAGAAAACTTGTTACTGTGAACTTTGTATGTTACCTTCTATAAATAAAGATTTTATTATCATTATTAGACAGACCCTCAGACTGATATATTCTCTGACTGACCCTCGGGCTTACTTATTCCCCGACTCACTGGCCCTTAGACTGACTCATTTTTACTGACTGACGCCGACTGTTTGACCCTAGGTTTGGCCGACTCAGCTGACTCAAACTGTTCTCCATGGACATAATTCTCTTATCGCAGCGCTATTTACCGTATAACAGTTAGTCATACGGAATGACCGTGGGGTTGTCATACACATTTTCTGAAAAGTGACTAACTGCTTGACTTTTACGAAAGCTTGACTGTGACTGAATGTGTCTAAAATGAGCATGCTTTCTTTGTTAATATATGTTGGGGTTTTACTTGCGACTTGTAAAGTAAAAACACAATTCTCTGCAACAAACACTATGTACTTAAATAATTTATTTAAGAAAGTCCGGAATACGATGTAGCTAGAATTGATACCACTACATCACAATTAACCTATATCATATCTAACAAAATAAAAAGACGTAATCACAATATATCAAGCAAATGTACATAAATGGCTGTTACATATATATGGAATAAAATTCAACAAAAAAACTGACATGTTGACTGAAATTTTTTAACATTCTTCACTTCATTGGAACAAAAACATGCATTTCTTGAAAAATAAACTCCAAACATTCTCGTAGCCACATTTTTCAATATGGCGCTTCTATTATACAATTATTGTACCGTGCCATTGACATAAAATGATAAAAAGAATTTCATGACTGAATGAAATTCAACATAATTTATTGGTCGATATGTTTATTCAAACAAGCCATCCTTAGTATAAAAACATACACATTGTATGTATGTAATGTATATGTTGTCCCGCCAGAATCTAGAATATTACATACTGCTGTAAATGATCACTCACAATATAAAGTATCACATGATTATAAATCAATCAAAAGAGGGTAATAAGAAGGGAAACAACTCGAGTAGACAAAAAATACACAGATGGAGTTAGCTCTCTTAAGAACGAGAAAATAATATCTACGGAAGCTGAGTTGTGCCATGTACAGTTTATACATTGTACCCACATTCACAGAATGTGTGCAACAAAGTTTCAATATCAAACTTTATAAAAACGTTATACACATTTTTCGTGATAGGTTGAAAGCCACTATACAATAGTAGTACTATATAAGCTACAATGCACAAACATTTTATATGAAATATAATATCACTTGAACTTCGATGGTGAAGTTTATTACACTACAGTAGAGATACAGGAAAAATTCTACTTCCGTAAAATATAAATAAATATCAAACGTTTGAGTAACATTTCTGAGAAGGTCAATTATTTGTTTGCTATTCCCGCACACCATGTGAAATAACATCCGGTGAAAGATCACGGCAATTGAAGTTGCAGAAAACTCTGTACCTAATTTTATGAAAAGCAGAATATACTTTTTAATAAAATACTGTTCTGTTGTCACTTAATATGAGCTTGATGGGAATAACTCTTTCTTCGTGAAACATGGCCGGAAGTCATCCTTCAGGTCTCTTTTCACGGGCGAACCTCGCGGAGAAAGTGACGTCTCACTTCGCTCAGGATCGGGAAGCTTCGAGAAAAGTAGTCCGGCAATCTGACCTTTCTCCACAGTAGTAGCTATCAAAGACTGGTGGGTATAAAAATTAAATCTGATAGATCCACTGTCAACTTCTGTAAGCCCATTCATTCCACTGTATGTCTGGTATGGAAGAAATAGATCCAGCTTGACCTGTATGGCGTACAAGCGACCTTTCTTCAGCAAAACTGGTTCTTTGAGAAAAAGGTGGTAATTTTCTTGCAAAGGAACATCAACATTGTCGTATTCAAATGTCAGTGTTTCCGACTGGTGCTGTGGAACACCGGAAACAACGATTTTCACGTGCTGGTCTTCTATTGGTATAGCAGGGGACATCCCTTTGAATACGGAATCTGACTGGTTAGATCCAGTGGAAGTAGAGCAAGCACCAAAAAGAATCAAGCCTTGTAACATAATGTCTTCTGACGAACGTACGTCAATGCCGAAATTGGAGTTTTTGAAGCCAGGTTCACAGCTAATTCCGCCTTGCTCATTCTTTGGGAAGCGCATACACTTGATAAGCCGTGCCTCTCGTTTTACATCAGGGAATCCAAGATCCTGCTTGCCAAATGATCCAAACATATGCTGGAACAACGCAATCTTCTCGGCGTCTGTTAAAATATCGTCTGCCGAAACGACATCTGTGAAGAAAATCCTGTCCATTGTAGGAAACCGGACCTTAAAAATCAAGTTTCCTAGTACAGCACGTTTATTGGTTCCATGTGTTTCCAGGTTTCTGCGCGCGCATTCTTTTATTGCCCAGGCTGTAAGCGCCATGTAAACATCACTTTCTTCCACAAACAGATCATTGGATTTGATTATCTGCTGGACGCAGTCAAAACAAAGCTCTTTGAACCCAGCAGACAAGAGAACGGAGTTGCCATTTTCAAATATGAACTGCAAACACATGTTTTTCAAGTCACTGATATCATATGTATGGGCTTGTTCCAAAATTTCACAAACTGTTTCCGGTGTCATTTTGGCGCGTAAAAAGTCTGCGCAGATTTTCACTAAATCCTCCACACAATACTTCCGGGCCACGTAGAGCATCGGTAATGTGTTTTGGTCGTCCAGGTCTATCTGTGACATATACATGAACTTCAGAAATGACATAAATATGTCAACTTCAACATCGGGAATCCTGTTAAAATACAATAAACATTTTTCCAATATTTATGAACTACTATACATTTTAAAAAGCTCCTGTCTGATATTGATCATAAAGGACAAGTTCAAAATTTAGTAATACGGTACACTGATAATAGATTTACTTAAATCACAGGAGCTTGACATCCTATAAATAATAGAAAAATATAAGCAAATAGTTAAAAATAACGGCAAATATACCCCATCTGTACTATAAGTGTTTAAATATTTGCGTTATTTTTTAATTATTTGCTTATATTTTTCAATTATTTATAGAATGTCAAGCTCCTGTGCACGAATATAAATATCGGTTTAATAAATATTTCTGTTCAATATGATGTATATTCCTGATATGTTATTCCTTAAGAAGCCCGGTCTCTTCCAGATATCTTGGAGAGCGAGCATACATTGCGAGTAGAGTATTATGTAATTGCGATAGCAAAAAAAGAGACTATAATCACTGATTATGAAACTTGAAATGATGCTTACTTGATTACTTTGTTAGTATTTTTGTCAGCAAGAGATCCACAAAACATAGTCTCGAACACCGCACTTCTGCTGATTAAAATGAACTTATGAACGGATATGGTCCTTTCTTCTCCTAGTGAGAAAGTGACGTCACATCCTATCTGGTTCTCGAACATGTGCATGTACCGCTCTGAAGAACTCTTCCCGATTCTCCAGTCATCTATATCCATGTTTACTTTAAAGAAATCTGAAAAACAAACATGAGTCATTGGAATGCGTAATCTAACATAACTACGGTGTCCTGTTTGGGTCAATACATTATATCATGGAGCTAAATATAAGATGGAGAAGAAACTGTGACGTCACACAGTTAAAATCAGTATCGGCGGAATTATGTTCCCGCAATTTATCATATGTCGCGAGATTTTGCGAGATTTGATGCATCCTGGTAAAAGTAGCCAAAATACCGCCACATTGAATTCCTGGAGGTACATCAACAAAAAAGACTTAATTTTGTTCACTTAATATAAGAAGCAATAGTTATTTATTCTAAACCGTACAAAACACTTTTCCACACACATATTTCTCCGTTGAAATCCATGTCGGCAATATAAGCAATAATTCACGGGTATCGGGTTTACGCCGAAAATCGGAGACTAGCGGGAAAGCCCGATTATCACCGAAGCGCGCAAAGGATTGTGGATCTGAATCGGATTTTCGTCTATTTTCGGAGTTTCCTGTCCGTTGTTTATACACGCATATCTGTAATTATATGACTTGTTGAAATGAAATATGTTTTTACTAAATCACTAGTGTGGTCCTTTTCATTTGATGAAAGATGCAAAATTTCACGTTATCCCGAGGAACTTCTGCGTCATTTAACGTTTTATTTCTTGCATATTTAACTTTAATCATCAGTAATCCGTTTAAGACGCTCGCGAAGATGAATCTTCATTCTCGCATGTCTACGCACCGGTGATCATGACGATATTTTAATTGACTCAAACTGGACACCATAGATAATAGATCTTCGTAATTAAAGACAAATTAGTCTGTAGAAACACAGTTACGTCGAATTATTTCTAAAAGTGCGATGGGGGAGCGATGGCCTAGTAGTAAATGTGTCTGCCTCTCAACCTTGTGAATATGGGTTCGAGCCCGACTCGGTACCTCTTATGACACCAGTTCCGGTTAGTTCCAGGAAGCGGACTCAAGAGTGATCAATATAATTAAGATGCAAAAACTTGTTTCGCAATCGAGCTAAAATAAATATGTTTAAACTAAACTAAAGGTACACTATGCACTGGATAATATAATCAAAACTATATGTGATTAGTTTTGACAAATGAAGAATAAGGGTCAATCCGAACCACCTTGAAATACAATCAATATACGGTAATTCCTCCAGCTTTTTAACAAAACCTTTCCGCGTTTAAAGCCTAACACGAAAGCTTCAATATACATCCAGACATGGCAGTTCTAAATCTTATCAATAAGTTTTTCTTACCAAGAACCCTCAACACAACAGGAACACAGTTACATTTCCATTTCATTTCTTAGCAAAATAAAATCATATTAACATAATCATAATGCACACATGCAGAAGTCCCTATGTACGGAATAGCAGACGAAAAAACAGCATACGAAAACATAACATGTCTGCGATGCCCTGCAATCGATCTGAGTCTGGTATTGATTTTTGCATTATTCTTTGCTTTAATGCATGCATTATTTCAGTGATACCTACCCATTTTGTTCTCAAATATTCGCTATCTTACAGAATAACAATTCTTATAAAATTACTACTTTTCCGATACGATTTTGCGAGCCGTTGTTCAAGCATTGGTAGAGACAAATCTATAATTTCACTGTTGGTAAGAATGCGGATGTTCAATACGTGTGTGTGTGTAGATGTAAAACAGATATTGGACCGTCACTGTGTCAAGACAACCATTTACTATATAACATACAAATGTACACATGTATATCCGCCCTGAGACATTTATTTTTACATGAACCTCATTTCTGTTACATAAAAGTCTTCTGATCTAGAATCAACTTTACTTCGGAAACGACTTGCACGAGTATCGGACCTGGGAAGAAAAAATATGACCAGATTGATAAAAAAACCTGTGTTCATCTTCAATGTGTCAAAAAAAAAAAAAAACAACACCAAAAAGAATAAATATTAGCCCCCTTAAAAATATACTATAGTTATAGTATAGTATAGATCTAAACAGGTTTTCAATCTGGTTCCAGGCTGGTCCGATACTCGTGCCTGTGAGCAAAACAAGGTATTATATAATTATTGTCATATATTCATCTGCCTGGGAAAAAACGAGAGTTTAATTTTCGCAGATAAAATCCAAGCTTTAGATAGGATCACATACGATCTGTCGTAGCGTGATTACGAATTTACATAATATCAATTTTCTTATCTTCCGATATATCCTGCTTCAAACAAAAGTCAAAGTGCATTCAATTCATCTTTGAATAAATTTCCTTAAACGGAGCGCAAATTTAAACTACGCATTAGATTTAAGTAATGAAAATTTCAAAGCAATGTCATAGCGTTACGTAAGTTACTTTATAACGTTAGCAACTTTATCAAGGTCATCTGGAACGCGGTATCACTCGAGTCACTTTAAGTGGTATACTAATTATATACATACCAACAACTCAGTATCCTGTATAGATTACGCAAGATAACTGATCAGATCTCATAAACCTTCAGCTATTAACAGAAGTGACTCACGCGGACCACTTAAACTTGAATCATTAAAAATTAATTTTATCCAGATCGACCTAGTTTTGAAAACAAAGGAAATTGCGTTGTTTTCAAATATCAAATTCGCTTTAAATGTACGCATTTATACATGTATACTGGAACATACGATAGTACATCCCAGATGTATATAACTAAATTTTAAGGTACAATAGCATCGGCACCTGATCGAAATTTACGATGTTTCTTTTAGCTTCAAATCTGTACGACAGGTAGTCGTTCACAAAATGATGTCAGCGCTGCTGAATTTGATCGAGTTGTGAACGTTACATAGTTTATTTACAGTATCTTGTTTTTTAGTAAATAAAAGTAATCTAAAACAATCTAAACATTGCAAAAGAATAAATATGTAACAAACTTACCTTTTAAGTTTTCAAAACAATGCCTTAACCAGGTGACAAATGAGTAACTTCTTAATTTACGCATTCGCTGCAAAAGTTTGTTTATCCATTACACGTGTATTCATTGTTTACCTTTAGCGTCACTGTTCTATTTTTAGTTTACACACATATGTTCGGAAAAGTCCGTAAAAACGGAATTAAACGTAAATATCAAAGTAGTTGAAGAACCGCCGTATGATGTAGATTGTGAAACAAAACAAAAAAAAACGTCTATTTTGTAACGCATTTTGGATTACGTATATACCTTATTGATGAAGTAAATATATTCTTATAATAAGATATCCAAATTAACATCTTTTAAAATTTGTTTAAACGTTTTCATGTGCACAAGAACGTACTCTTCTGCGCATCGATCGAATGTCTCTCCCAAAATGATACATTTATAATAATTGAAATGTTTAAATATTGTTATTATGCCTAGATCTATTTATTATTTAAAGAAATTTCATATTGGTGAATACATGTATATTCAATAATTTGCCATTTTACTATGTATGATTTAACTGACTGATCGTATATGTTTTTATTGATTTAATGCGCATAGAACATATGTGATTTATTGCACAATATCTAAAGCTTCTTATTCTTTTTAATGTGAATAAACATGTCAAACATATATTTATATTTATATAATTTTTGTTACGGAGTCCAGGCCTTTTTTTCCGAGTTCTGTCTCAAATCTCAGGATTTTTATTGAACAACGGAAATTCTGTGGCAGTTTCTGAACAATCAAATACCTGCGATCTGAATTTGAGCTACCTCGGACCCTGATCTCCATAAATACAGTAAAGTTTCTTTTTTATATGATTAATCTAGATGGTATATATCTGAGACGCCTTATTATGGGTTTACTCGAGATCTGAGTATCCGACGATTATGAACCATATATATACCATGTCAATTTGTGTTGAGCCTAATAGTTATTAAAAATCAAAGCACAGAAGGCGCTGAATTTGTTCGGGTCTCAGAATGTCAGAAAGGTGAAGGTTATGCGATTATAAACCAATTTGTTTTTGTAAAGTGCCTACAATGTTTTCCAGTGTTTTAACTGTAATACATTGGCTATATAATTGCAACACTGATAGTCAATTCAATGTTTATTTGACTTAAAAAAAATGGGTTGCCTCAACTGGGATTTGAACTCCAGACCTCTCGATTCATAATCGAGCGTGCAAACCTCTCGGCCACGGTGAAATTACGTGTTATCGGCCTTATGAAAAACCATTTTATTCTAAATTAGGGTTTGTAACTCTTATTATTTCGACGCTAAACCTGTTGTTTAACACAGATGTTAATAATCATGGAGCTTACTGTAAGCATGTATATCTATAAAGAATGAAACAATATTAGAAATCTTCGACCATTCGGGAACTACTTTGCCTGAAAATTAATGCGCCTGTCATTTGACAATCTTTACGCATTGATCTCCCCTGAATTTTTCGGCGTTAGTGTACGTACATATAAAGGGAAGTAACCGCTTCAGAAAAGTGGACTACTTTAGGCAATTGCAATTAACAGCATTAGACTCTGAAATTTCGCTACCATTATTTGTTTGGTCTGACGACCCAAACAAATAAAAATATATATGAACAACGCTATTTAAATCAAATGTAAAACTGGTACTATTAATTTCATAACTTCTTGACTAATACCGGTTGATTCTAGCAGAACCATTCTCAACTTTAACGATACTTTCCGTCGTACTATGGTAAAGTTTTAATCGATGAGGTGTTACGAATGATCCGCCTTCTATCCATCATAGATCAGACGAAATAAGAACGCTTATAAAGATATCGGAGCATGCATGTATATTGCTTGTATATGTACGTATAGTTGCTTGTATAAACAATGGGTCATTATTTTTGTATTATCTTTAATTTATTAGAAAACGTGCAGATCTAATCGATTATATATCCTCATTTGTTTTACAAAGTGATCAGACTGCCATTAATTTGAGTCTATCGATAGTTTATTTTTAATTACTTTCCTCAATTTCGACTGTCCCAATACAGGTTTTGTTTTCAAAAAAAAGTACAGAAAACATTAATGTGACTTGTAAGCTCAGCTGAGGGTGTGGATGCTTGTAGGGTCTTGGAATTGTTTCAGGAAGCCTAATTAAGGAAGGTTGGGGGATCTACTTTTGTACAGGCCTGTGCCTGAAATAATACATGGTGGGACAGCATAACTTAGTTTTCCTCCATCAGAGAAGCTTGATTGTTGCTATGGAATCATTAAAATCACTATTATGATGCCCGTGCCATTATTTGGTCACTATTGAAACTGCAGGTTATAAATTTGTTCTAAATAAATAAATAAATAAATAATGATATAAATAAATAAATAAATAAATAAATAAATAAATAAATAAATTAAAATATACAACAACAACAAGAAGTTATCATGTACTTTTTTGTTTATATATTATAAATGTTGTTCATAATAAAATGTTGTCCATTAGCCAGCACAACATTCTTGTATTCAGGATCGCCTGTGAAGTCATCAGTATAGATAGTTGAATCAGCTACAGCACTTGACTCCGGGACAGGTTTCGAACCACGCCTACCTTCAGTCGAAGGCCAAGCGTACATGTACGTGTTTTCATTCCTGTTTGATTTGTATTCCTGAGAAGTACTTGAATTTTCTGTGGTCGCCACAGAAGCGACCGTATTAATCGTACTATTGCTACTAGAACTTTCATTTGGCCGACTAGTGGAATATGGAGTATCTGTGTTAGCCATTGCAACCATTGCTTGTTCAGATTTTATATATTGCTTTCCACTAGCATACAACTTCTTTAAGAATATATGAATCTCTAAAACCAGAACAAAGGTTATTAGGCAAGCAATCATTCCGCCACTTCCGGTTAAAAACAGGGAGTACGGTGACTTGTAAACACTTCTACCATAGCCGTTCATTTGTTCGTTATGACGCTGTTGGTATTTATATCCCATTTTACCAGACGCTAAAAGTGCCAGGACACCTGAGAAAATGTAAAACCAAAATGTAACATACTAAATACGTTACAAAACATGCATAATTATACATTGTAAAAACATGTCATAAAGAAGAAATAATGCCTGTAGATCTACTTAAACCAGGCAAAATGTAAAAGAGCTCAAGCTTATCCTAATTAAAAAAAAATCCATGCAGAAATATATTTGTTCAAAGTTTGCGCTGATTTGTCTGTGGTCTGCCACATCTTAAGCTTATCCATGTCAGTAGTCAGCAGCTCTACGAGTCTGGTCAGATTGCATGGTTGTGCATGATGGCCTGGCTCTAAATTGGCGACAAAGGCTAACGACTTTCGATTCTAGCAATTGTTTTACAAGAATTGTCTTTTTGAAATTGATCGCTATTTTTCGTCGCGAACGAGTAAGCAAAAGGTTAACAATTGAATGTTATTTGTAGTTAAGAATACGTCAAATATTTCTTACCAGACAACAAGCTGGCCAACATTCCAATAACAATGATTGTTGTGATTTTCTTTTTCACATACCGCACCAGAGAAGTAATGGCTATGACACACGCAGCGAGTGAAATAAAAGTTTCTATTTGATATTCCAACATATCTGTAAAGGAAAAACTAAATGTATTCACGAAAACAATTAGGTTAAAGATCCTGTATGTTGTAATTAAGGTTGTTACCACACTTAAGTGAAATTTTATATAATAATGTATATAATTATGCTTCTAAAACGAATTTCAAACATTGAAGAATATGTAAAATATGTCCTGCAAATTTTTGTCCACATTATATGTAATCATTAAAACATATGCATTCATTTCTAACTGAAAAATTTGACTTAGAATTTATAGAAAATAAATTTCTAATTACCTCCCTTTTTTAACATGAATATGTAAATTCGGTAATATCTTTAAAAATAATGCTATGTGGAACTTACAATATTGCTAAATCTTCATTTGAGCATTATATTTATGATATAAAACCATAAGTAATTGTGTTACAGTAACTTTAAAAACGCAATAAAAATGAACTTTCTTTTTTGCTGAAAGACTTAGATAATGTTTTAGATTTGTTTATGGTCAAAACATTCTGTTCTCGTAAACAAAGCAACTTACCATTATCTTGGTTAGCTTGACCAATAACCATGGATTCCGTCTGACATCCATCCCCTTTCTTACACGTAACTCTGTACCAAAGTCCCACATGAATCGTTAATAAATCACCTTTCAACAAGCCCCATCCCGGAAGCAAGAAGCCCAAAACCTGCAGAAAACACGATAGGCTCAAACATAACACATAGAATAAAATTCTCTGGTCAGACGATCCGTATTTCATGAGGAATTTCTTAAGTGACATAGCTGTTGTCAAACACCGTCATCTGTCTAGAGAAGTCACTGCGATATGCAATACATTCAACATAAAGATTCACCGCAATTTCTAGCTGAATAAGCTTTTTTTAAGGAAACAACTAAAAAGTGACTGCCTGTTCGAATACATCAGACGCCTTTAGGGATATTAATGATTGTTTGACACTATCCATTACATTCGTTACATGTTGCAACTTAAAATAAACGATATATTGTTGTACATGTACGTCTGCTTAAGGCCAAGCAAATGTATGTGTCAGTGAGTGACGAAGTGATTGGAAACTATAATAATCTGACCTAAATGAAAAGCATGCATGATAAACGCCTTGCGATATACGGAATACATTGCATCCCATGGTGATTTATGATTTTGAAAAGTACATGTTTAACTGCCTTTCTTTTTACTTTGTCAAAAGGTATCATTGACATATTGGTTTCAACGTCATCCATTATTGTTGAAAGGTAGTCACGACACACATTATGTTGTTAATTAAGGTTGTTGACTTCAAACTATTTGCCCCACACCGGTATGGGTTCGAATCCCATGGACCTGAACAATGAGGACATAATATATAACTAATTGTCTCTTGTACATGTAATTCTGTACAGAATGGCGATTCAGGTTGTTATTTTTTATTCACGTGTGTTGTATACGTGTAAACATGTAAAGATTAAACAAATGAACAAATAAATAAATCCATATGATGTTACTGAATAAATGCCTTTCTCTTCTATTTTATAGTTAACACAAGAATTAAGTAAGTACATGTACAATGTATACATTTTAGAAATATATTGAAAATCATTTTTCTATTACTAGTACCTTCTAAAGGAAATAAAGTGAAGTTAAAGACAAAGTCAAAGATAAGTTTAGTTACTCAAAGTTAGATTAAATAGTAACATGTTCTCAGTCGTCGTCAAAGTCAAACTGCACCATTGACCTGGTCTGAAAGCACAAAACATTGGATTGAAAATATTTTGGCGGTTTAAAAATGACTGGTTCTCAAAAATATGTGAAGCTATTGGAAGAAGACTTAATATTGCGTATCAGATCAACTTGAGCGATTTTCATGCTACATTGTGTCAGGAAAATGCCATCGGTAAAAGACCTGTTTACAATATTCAAGAGTGGTTATCCTGTTATTTGACTTAAAATGATTGAAATTCTTTAGCATAATTATCTGACTTTCTTGATAAGAATCAAATTTAATAAGCAACAGATGAACATATCCGAGATTAACTAGTTTTAACAAGTAATTTTATGTTTAAATACAATCTATAATGATGTAAATGAACTTGAAACAAGTGCAAATAAAATAAAATAATGGAAGGTACAAATCAAATATATGCATTCTTCTTCTACTGGTTAAAACGCATAATTTTATTAAATTTTACCTGTAGGCCCCTACTGTAAGTATTATGTAAAAAAATACATACTGTACTCAGTACTGTCTCCTTTATGTTTTGTTTAAAAAGGAATCGTTAAACATATTAAAATTCATAAATGTTTTTTTTTCTCATGAATGGCAAAATTGTGACTCCAGGAAAACCGTTGTGTTTGCCCTTCCAGGTACAAACTAGCAAAACAGGCATCATAATAGATTTATAATCTAAATAGAACTAAATATTGAGACCAAACATAGACACGAGCCCTTATTAATTTATATTAACTTGTCCCAGGGTCTTTCAAATAATGAAAACTCAGCCATGATAATTTAGTATCTTGAAACCTAAAACGGCAGCGAAACTTATAATGTCAGATTTATAACAAATACACCGGTTTTTGTGGCGCTTATTTTGACATTTCTATTTTGCCTTAATTAACAGTTTAACCTTCTTGTAAGAGGTATTTTAAGTATGATTATAGATAAGATATGTATATTTATAATCAATATAATATTTTAAATCTTTCTGAACGATGTCACATTTTAAAAATATATGAGACTGTCTAAGATGTCGTTTGCAATATATTTTCGCGATGTTATTTGAATGGCAAGTTGTGCATGGAGAAAGCTAAAAACATTTATATGTTCACTCAACTTTATTTCATTCATGTAAAATATATGCTGTATATTAGAAAGAAAAGTACCAAACTTTATTCTGTTGACGTTATTGCCTAGATAGTTCCCTCTTAAAAATAAAGACCCTATCCCTCGGCTAGTCCTAATTATAAGACCTATACGTAACCTATTTCATATTTATCATTCATTAATCTGATATTTTACATTTTTCATTTTCCATGTTACGTTAGGTCTTAACAGATCTTTGCAAAATCGTGTAGCAAAAAAATTGACATTAGACATCGATTTAGATCTAATGAATTTAAACAATTAAAACAGCGTGTATTCACATTAATTTTGACCTATTTATGAACAAAACTAAAAAATAAATACCTTTTAACAAAATAATTGAACTGTCACATCCGAAAAGTCATGATTAAATCCTCTCATTTAATTAAATTCCTTGTACAGCCAATATACAAATGGCCGCCATACAGTGCGCGAAATCTGATTGGCTAATTCAAATGCAAGCGTTTAAATGAGTCCAGAAGTTTCTAACGGAATATTTTTTCAACGAAATAATTGCCCATGCACCGTCAGTGTGTTCGAATATATTTTTCCGTTCAAAAAATTGGAATCAATCTGTAAAACGCTTTACTTAACCAGTATGGCCGATGAGCGAAATAGACTGATATGTATATTTTATTTTTAATTGATAAGTACATTGTTTGAAAGTTTTTGTTAATGATAGACCATGCATTTGAAAGAACAGAAGATAAGCTTTTGAATAAAGCTTGAAAGGCAAGTCAACAGACATTTTTTTAAATTTTCAAAATGCTACGCGTTTTTGAGCAATAACTATTAGACGTCAGGCTTGACCAACATAAAACTATAACAAGCCTGTAATGTCTAATCTATTGGACTATCCCTCGGCTTGAACCTCCCCTATAAAAGATTTTAAATATTTTAACACAAATTGCAAGTCTTTCTTAATCTTAAACTTGATATATATCACAGGTGTTCGTACATTGACTGGTCTCTATGCCCCCCCCCCCCCCCCCTGCCGCCCCCCAAAGAAAAGAAAGAAAAAATATCTATATATTTGGTAAAGGTATGCAACTCGCCACTCATTTTTCAGAAACTATAACACACCTTTTTCCAATAAGTATATAAATATGTTTATAAATATGTTTTTTTTTAAATTGTTATGCTTTTTAAAGGTGTATGTCATATATGACTGGATATTAATGTTACTTTACAGTATTTTAACTGAAAGCTCGCTGTAAAGAAAGCAGAAGTTGTAAATCAAAATGGAGATAAATATTGATGATGCAAGCAAGAGAATTTCTGATATACACCTGTCAAAGAGTTCAGGTATATTTTAGATGTCATACTGACATATTTTAAGGCCAATTGAAAAATATTTATTTGCAAATCATTTACTCCTTCAGTTAAATAACCTTTACAGTGGTGGTGCAATGTAAAACCTCATTATGAATATAGAATCAAAGATAGACATCCATAATGTTAGTAAATGTTTTTATTATATCATAGTAATTTCATGTCTATGGTTAGAAAACCAAGTTAGACTTTTTAGATAAAATGGGTACAACTGAATGTAAACCACTGTACCATATTTATTTTCTCTGTACCACAGTATATTTTTGTACTGCTAAACTGTTACAGCCCTAACATTTAGACCTGAAAAATAAATCATTAATTCATGTTAGTAATAGGTGAGAACAAAGAAAACGATGATCCTGATGAGGTAGATCAACAAAGGTTTAATGAATTAGTGATGAAAGCAAAGAAGCTTATAGGCGAAGGAAATATCGAAGATGCATTGAAACTGAATAAGAAGGCTCTTAGTATCTGTTACAGTGAAAAATTGGCAAAGAAAATCAAGAAAATGGAGGTGATTCTATTTTGCTTTATAATTTACAAAATGGAAGTGATTCTTTTTTGTTACATTCCCCTTCCAAAGCAAACACAAATGGCTGAACATGTGTTTTGTTTTGAAGAAAAAAGGTTTTGATATCATATGTTCCTGTTTTAAGAACCCAGAAAAGTAATTGTATTTAGATTACCACATTAGGTAGAGCTATAGGTATATTGGCATCAAACTTTTTGTTTTGAGTCCTGGGTACTAGCTTACTTTTCAAAGCTGATTAGGTAATCCTCAGTATGTCTGTAACTGATATTTCTCTAAATAATTTGAAAAGAAAAAAATTGGGAAAACATGGATTAGTATTTGTGTATATCTTGAGAAGTTATTTGTTTTTTGTTGTTGAAAATTTAGGATTATATAAAGGCCCATGCTGATGATTCTGATGAAGATGATGAGGATAACGGGATGTTACATCTAGGTAAAGGTTTTTACCTGTACCGTGATCTCTTTAACAATCTGTATGCTCACCAGCAGGAGGGTGTTCTATGGCTCTGGTCATTGTTCAGAAGGAAAAAAGGCGGGATTCTTGGAGATGACATGGGGTATGTGTTATTGAATATATGCAATAATTATTTTCAGCATTTTTGGAATGGTGGTGTCTATTCTAGGAGGGGGGGGGGGATGGGGATGGGGGATTCACTCACATTTTTGAGAATTTCCCCCAATTTTTCAGAGGCAGGTGGAAATTTATATAGAGAAAAAAGATGAACAAATGTAATAAATTCTCACCTTACGATAAAAATCTGCCGTTTTTTTTTTAAACATAAAATAGGCGCTAGTGGTGGGTTCCTTTGGAAGGGAAAATTGCATGGCATTTACTGTCATACAACAACAACAATCGATTATTTCTTTCATTTTTAGGATTTTGGATTATTAAGAAAAAGCAAAAAAAGTGTAGCCCAGGTTTGTAGTGGCTATTGTTGAAAAAACCTTGATTCTTTGCATTGTCATGTTGCTACTTTGTTTATTGTACTGGTAAGTCGAAATAAACAAGCCTGACTGCATGTTTTAAATATACTTGTTCATGTTTTATGTTCAATGAAATATTTGTTTTTTTGGGGAATGGCAGAGGGAAGACAAGACACATTAGTTACGTATTAGTATTATACTCATGACAGGGTAGACAGAAATGGAAGGTAGATTATTTTATACACTTGCTAGAAAGTGTTATGAAATCTTCGGAGTATTCTGGTACTCCATCAGAATAATGACCAAGTACTTGTTTCTCTTTTTATAGTGACAATCTATAGTCTTCTCTGTTTTCAGAAAACTATATTTTATTGTTTTGTGAAACATGTTTTTTTTTCAGACTGGGTAAAACAATTCAAATAATAAGTTTCCTATCAGGGATGTTTGACATGCAGAAGGTCAAGTCTGTTCTTATAGTGCTGCCTGTAGCTGTCATGGTGAACTGGGAAAAAGAATTCCAGAAATGGTAAATATAGAGCTGTCATCTATAGAAATGACATTGATGTAATGTTGGTGTATTTTTTGTTGATCAATAGTCAATACAGATTTGAAAAAAAAACAACAATAATTTTGACATATATAGAATGTCCAGAAATCATGAAAATTCACACAAATAATTTACAGAAGCAGATGACCAGTAAAAACTACACATCTAAATACTTTGGTTATGTGTTAAAGGGATAAAGTGTCTTTGACTTGATGAAAATTCAAAGCTTTGAGGGTTACATTTTCTCTATTTTTACAATGATTTGGTTTTCAATATATCAATATCTAATATTCTTGTATCTGTTATTTTTTAGGGCACCAGGTCTAAAAGTGGTTGCTTATCATGGTAACAGCAAGAGAGAAAAGGAAAGGGCTCTAGCTCGTGTCCAGAGGCGAGGTGGTGTGTGTTTGACTACATATGGTCTAGTAGTGACAAGCTGGGAGCAAATTGGGCAACAAGATGGCAGAGAATTTGTATGGGTATGTGTGGTAAAATTTTCTAAAATATTAGATAGTTGAGAAGTTGGTATTGCTTTTTATGCCCCCGCCATGTAATGGCCGGGGCATATAGTGTTACCCTGTTCTGTCCTTCTGTCATTCCGTCATCATCAGTTTCCGTTCATTATCTTAGTAACAGTTGCACACATTCAACTCAAATTTGACATATGGATATGTCATGAGAAAATACAGGTCAAATTCGAATTTGGTCATGGTTCGATGATTTTTGGCAGAGTAATGCCCCTTTTACTGTAAAATAATATGAAATTTTTAGTTTCCGTTCATTATCTCCCCAACGGTACAACACAGTTATGCCCCTTTTACTTTGAAAATAATATGAAATTTTCAGTTTCTGTTCATTAGATACAACACATTCAACTCAAATTTGACATATGGATATGTCATGAGAAAATACAGGTCAAGTTCGAATTTGGTCATGGTTTGATGATTTTTGGCAGAGTTATGCCCCTTTCACTTTGAAAATCATATGAAATTTTCAGTTTCCGTTCATTATCTCCCCAGTGGTACAACACATTCAACTCAAACTTGACATATGGATTCGTCAAAGGAATGTGCAGGTCAAGTTCAAATTTGGTCATGGTTCAATGATTTTGGCAGAGTTATGCCCCTTTCACTTTGAAAATAATATGAAATTTACAGTTTCTGTTTATTATCTACCCAACAGTGTTACATATTCAACTCAAATTTGACATATGGATATGTCAAAGAATTGGGCAGGTCAAGTTGGAATTTGGTCAAGGTTAGATGATTCTTTGGCAGAGTTTTGTCCCTTTCACTTTGAAAATAATATAGATACATCTTAGGAATAAGCAGTTTAAGTTTGAATTTGGTCGTGGTTCAATGATTTTGGACAAACTTATCTTTCTTGAATGTTGGAAAAATTTTGAACTTTCAGTTTCAGCACTCATACTTTTGTGGAAATGTATGTAGCCATTATTTTGGCTACAAATATGAAATTTGCCATTTTCAAAAGGTTAAGACTGAATAATTTCAGTGCCTTGAACATTGTATGAAAATGGTTTGTATTAACATTGAAAAGTTTTAAGGGCTTTGAACTTAAAATGAAAAAAATAATTTGTGCAAACAAATTTGGAACTAAATATTATAACATCTGAAATTTTGGCTGCATGCGGGGGCATCCGTGGCATGATGACACATTTCTAGTTTATCATTAAGTATGCTTGCTGAGAAGTCTGATTATGGGAGCAAGTAACATACAGTATTTTGTTAATGGGACTTTGTAGATGAGCTGCCAAACCAAAGAACATTTTGAATCACTTGTCCCATAGTTTTGTATGTTTGAAATCTGGAAGTCTTTCATTTAGGTATTGATTCATCAGATGGATTGTATTATCATCAGGGTGCATGAAATTACATCTTGTCATTGATTTGGCACCAGTTTTGTTAAAGTTCTGAACGTATGTGTCAACATGGTAAAATTTGTTTCTCACAATATTGTAAATTTCTTGTATTGGCATATTTTCATCAGCATACTGGTTTAGAGTATATTTTTAACTTAAAATAGCATTTCAATCATGATCACCCAAGGGTACTGTATATGTAGAGATATTCGCGGGCTTCAAATTTTCGCCATCTTCGCGGTGACATTTGATCCGCGAATCCATGTTTAGCACAAATATTTCTACACCAATAATTTCTTAATAGTCATATTTTCGCGCTTGTATAGAACAATATATCAGTGTAATATGCTTTCAATACATACGATTTTATAAAAATGCTTACTGAGTAATTGTGATTTGTGTTGCAAGTTTTTCATGAGTTGAAATTGTTTATGCTTGTGTTGTTTGCATTGCTTGTTTAGAAAAAACAACAAAATATGATCTGAGCAGATGTCAAGATGTTTATGACGCATACTGTGAAAAACCATGCATGTTAACTGGCATTTTTTTGCTTGCCATAATCTGTCTGCTAGACATTGACAATGTCTTTGTTATATACAACAGCGTATTATTTGACACAGGTATTTAAATAACTGTGAACTCTTACGATAATTACCGTAATTTCCCTATTTTTTTCTTTAATCTAAGCGAATTTATGATATTCGGCAGTCACCTCCGCGAATTCAAAAAAGCGGGAATATTTGTATAGACCCCCAAAATGGACCTTTCCGCGAAAATTTGCTTCCGCGAATTCAAATACACATACAGTATATTTTTCAAATTAAAGATTTGGGCATTTTAACCCAACTGATTTTACCATGTGACCTGCGCAGACCAAGACCAGCCTTCACATCTGTGCTGTCTGATGGTGGTCTGCACTGTTTGCTATTCAGTCATTACATATTTTGAAATATTCCCTAAAAATGATAAACGGTTTTACCCCTGATTGAAAGATGGACAAGTCTAGTTAAGGTAATTAGCATAATAAAGATTAATGTTATACAATGATCTGACACTGATGCTTTCTCTTACAGGATTACATGATACTGGACGAAGGACATAAAATAAAAAACCCAACAAAGACAAGTAAAGGTGTACATGCTATACCTGCCCATAATCGGATCATTCTCACTGGAACACCTGTTCAAAATAATCTCAAAGTAAGTATTTGTGATCGTGAAATACTCATATGTTCTATGAAAATCAAAAGTGGTCTCAGGAAAATCAGCAGTGTTTTAAGGAAAGGATAAAACCAATTCTGTCATCTGTAGAACATATTAGTATTTTATGATCACAAAATTGATTATGATTGATCAAATACAGTAATATTAATTTATTGAACAAATGTGCCTAACCTTGACTTTGAAATGATTTATTGTCAGTTCAAGAGAATATCCGTATAAAAAATTGACTTATTGTAATGAACCTATGACAGTTATGATATATTATCTAGTTTGTTGTGCAGAGTACAGGTTTTGTCTAGGTTAGAGCTCAATGTGAGGCAAAACAATGGTATTATTTAAGCAAATTTGCTTTATAAAGAACATAATTTTCTTTCATACAGAAATTTTTAAACTATTCTTTTTCAAAATTGAAATGTAGTGATTTTGTATACTTTAGGCAGCAGATACTTTAAACCTCAATGCATGTATGTAAATGGCAAAGATATTTATTATTTTGAAATATGTATAATATTGTGTTTGTATAATATTGTTTTCTCAGGCATGGAAGAAAAGTATTCTGTTAATTTATTTTGAGATTGGTAATAAAACTTTAGACCAAAGTAAACTGAAGAAAAGGTTGTTATGTTAATTTATTTTTAACTTTCAGGAGTTGTGGTCACTTTTTGATTTTGTTCATCAAGGATCTTTGCTTGGCTTGCAGAAAACGTTTAAAATGGAATTTGAAAATCCTATTACAAGAGTATGTATATTATATGATTTAAATATTCAATACAGCAAACTTCCATTGTTAGAGAAAAAAAAAGAAATAACCTAATAAATTGACACATACAGATGTACAATGAAAAGCAATATTACAAATGTGCAATATTTTAATAGCATTTATGTCAAAGTTTTCATAAAAAATTAGCATGAATCAGTAAGCACATTGCTTCAAAGCACAATTAAAGATGTTTTACCCCCTTTCACTGTTTATTTAATATTTCATGATCATAGGCAAGAGAAAAAGATGCTACTGTAGGTGAGAAGAAGTTAGGACTGGAGATGGCAGAAAGTCTGAAGAAGATCATAGCTCCATATTTCCTCAGGAGAACAAAGGCTGAGGTGAAGGAAAGAGAGAAAGCTTCTAAAGACGAGCCTGATTCTGGTGTCACCCATGCTGTGTAAGTAATGATAGGAATAAATTCCTGTACAAGATAGTTTTTATGTATTTGCTGGGTGTTATGCCTTCATGTATTCATGTCCTAGGGACAGTACATATGTATTCTTAGAATACTGAAGTTATAGGGTCATCTGTGGCTAAGTTGTTATGGTCAAGCTACTTGCCCATCATCGCTGTGGGTTTAAATCCCGCCAAAGACTTTGGATTTTTTCATGTGTTTTTGGTTAGTATGACATACAGCAAAGAAGTTTTCTAAGTTTTTAGGTGGTCCAAAATGGGTTTGAAACAAGTTTTCAGGCGACCCAAAATTGGTTTTGGACTGCAGGCACCTCCTTAAGACAACCTTGCCAACATGAAATGAATTATTTAAATTATGCTTAAATGTTTGTTCTTTCAGCATGCCAACAATGACAAGGAAGAATGATTTAATTGTATGGACGTTCCTGCGAGACACACAACTGAAAATATATCAGGACTTTCTCTCTCTAGATTCAGTTAAAGAGGTAAGAAATATTTGATTGAATATTGGATAGTATTTGTTATGGTCTTGGGGCACTCATTTCACTTTTTTTGGTCCCAAATTCAGCCTCTTTTCTTTCCCCAATTAATGTATATTAATATATTTTTACCCCAGCGACTATGGGACCCTGATTCCTTCAGTAATGTTGAGTATTGTTATTAAAGGTGTTTTTTTTGCATCATGGGACTGGAAATGATTTTTCAAAAGTCATGTTCCATTTGATGTAGGTCTAAACCAATATTGTGTGAACAATTTCAGATCAGTAAATTTTTGAGAAGGATTATTCTAATTGTGAAAAATAATCCAAATTTAAGAAACAAAACAATAAATGCTACTAAAATCATATGATTTAAAGATTTTGTGTGTTGAAACAAATTTTTATATTCCAGTTGCTGATGACAACAAAATCACCGCTGGTTGCTCTGAATGTCTTGAAAAAAATTTGTGATCATCCACGACTGCTGTCTACCAGAGCATGTGCTCAACTTGGAATACAAGATGAAGGGTAAGTTTACATTTGTTGTTTACTAAGTCTTGTGCTCATCTAAGTTTATGTGGAGATGGGGGATAAGTGTACTTTTGTTGTCAACTAAGTCTTGTGCTCATCTAAGTTTATGTGGAGATGGGGGATAAGTGTACTTTTGTTGTCAACTAAGTCTTGTGCTCATCTAAGTTTATGTGGAGATGGGGGATAAGTGTACTTTTGTTGTCAACTAAGTCTTGTGCTCATCTAAGTTTATGTGGAGATGGGGGATAAGTGTACTTTTGTTGTCAACTAAGTCTTGTGCACAGCTTAGTGTATGTGGAGTTAAAGGATAAGTGTACATTTGTTGTAAACTAAGTCTTGGGCTCAGTTCTGTAAACAGGGAGGTAAAGGGAAAATGAACATTTGTTGTCAACTTAAGTCTTGTTTTCAGTTAGGTTAACATGGAAATGAAATATAAGTGTACATTGGTTGTCAACTCAGTCTTGCGCTCAGTTCAGTTAAGATGGAGATTAAGAGCAAGTGTACATTTGCCTGAATTAAGAGATGTCAAGTAAGTCTTATGCTGAGCTCAGAATACATGGAAGATAGGTAAAAGTACATTTGTTGTAAACTAAGTCTTGTTCTCAGCTTTGTGTACAGGGACTCCTGTCATGTGTCAGGGAGATGTCTAAATGACAAGTAAATGTACATTTGGTTACAACTTAGCCTTGTGCTCTCAGTTTTGTATATAGGGAAATGAAGGGTTAGTGTTAACATTTGTTGTTAACTTAGCCTTGTGTTCAATTTGGTACACTGGGAAAAGATGAATAAGAATATGTCCGATTATTGAACTATTTTTTATCTTTATAATGTATAATTGGCAACATGTTTAAAAGTGTGGCTTTTTATTCATGGAGCTTGAAGGGATTATTGCAAGTTTATTGTTCAATATGGTTTACTAAATTTCAATGTCAACTTGGTCACTATTGTTTAATAATGACATTAACTTTGCTTTTCATATGTATAATCTTTGCTTTTCGTACATATAAAAGCTCACTATGGCTGTTACTTCCTTTTCCTGGCAAAGGCTTGTACTGTTTGATATTTAAATCCTGAGTGAATATTCCTATGTTCAAGAATTCTAACATTAGCAAATCCTTGTTCTCGTAAAATATCGGCATAATCTTGTATAGAAATTCCTTTATTCTTTACCTTTGGCACATTATCTTGTCGTTTCTGCTGCTTTTTTGTGAGAACTGGCTTATAGTCATGAATACACGTGAGAAACAGACATCCAGGTCTAAGAACACGATAAATTTCACATGCGGCCGTTTTAATATCATCCCAGTAATAGAAACCGTTTACGTTATAAACACAATCAAACATATTATGAAGGTACGATAAAGATTCCGGTGCACTAAGGTCAAGTTCTAGAGTTCCTGTATCAATATCTTCGTGTAGTTTTTTGGTCACTTCCTCCAGATGTTTTTCCGATGTTTCTGTACCCATTACCCTCCCAGGACCACCTGTAGTAAATTTTAATTGAAGTTGTTTATTCTGAGCAAGCAAAATAATATAGCTTTGTATCTTAAATGTTTTTTCTTTATGCAAAAGGTAGGTATCTTAAAGGTTTTTTTCTTTTATACAGATTCTGGTTGTTTTCTTGGAATACGTATGAAATTTAAAATTAAGACTCCAAAAGTTTTCTCATTTAAATCAAGATGAATTCACTTAGAATAATTTTAGTGAAAATAAATGTCAAGTACAGGTGACATCAACTTCAAATTAAAAACATTTATAAGATGATAATCATCTTGATAGCACAGTAAAATTAGTGAGACTAAAAAGAAGGATTGGAGCACCACACTAAATACTGTACTCTGGTATATACCGGACAAGGCGCTTGAATAATTAAATGCTAAAAAGCCAACGGAATGAACTTATAAATGTCTATCTAATTCAGCTCTTCACACCGATTTATATTTGATAATGAATGCAAAATGTAAGAATCGGAGAAAAAAGTGATATTTTCCTACTTTGTGATCATAATTTCTGCAAGCGTCTTAAGATCTGCTCCAACACTGAAGTAAGTTAAATCCCAGGAAAATAGTTTATTATATGCACTGACTTGTTTAGAAAATATTTTCTTGTTCCGGTTTTGTTGGTGTTCTTTACAACCCAAAAATGATCAAGCGTTTCTTGTGGAATAAGTACATCTAATTTTGTCATTGCATCACTAAAAGGGAAAGGGTTTAATCATATGATTACCTTTACCCCCCCCCCCCAGCACTCCCTCCTACTTCCCCATCCTACCTTTCCCCTATATACTGCCATGGACAAGTCTATGTAAAGTGTGAAGAAGCCATCCATAATTTATTGTATGGAAAGTTAATGGTCCTACTTTTTAGCCAACTTACAAGGGAAATCTTATGTAAAATGTAACTGAGAAAAGTTTTGGTTAATATGAATTTTTAGTTACATGAGAATAGAAAGTTAAAGTTACCATTGAGAAGCTCCAGTACAACCTGTAGTCCATGTCCTTTATAAAACCCTATCTCGAGGACAAAATAATTAGGTTTTATATCACACTGTCTGGCGGTACTCTCGTGGAATTGAGCAAGTGGGTCTAGCTCCTCTTCTATCTCTGTCTGAGATGATAAAACCAGAAACTTTTATTTTGTAACAATTTGTGTCATCAAATTTGGAAACTGTGGTAACCATGAGTGATCAGAAATATAAGTTTAATGATAAGTAAGTGCTACATTTCTATGATTTTATGATCATTTTTAAAAAGATTTTAGGACCTATATTTGGTGATATTAAATTATTGATAATTGAAAGAGTATTTTATTCTGAATTGAAACTTTTCAATAAACCTGTAATGTAATTAAATTTGATTTTTTTTTATTTGATTTTTTTTTTTTGGGGGGGGGGGGGGAGGGGGGAGGTTGGGGTGGAGATGGGAATTGTATACTGAATAAATAAAATACACATGTTTGATAAAGGCATCATGTAAATAAATCTCAAAGAAGTAACTGCTTTTCTATATCCTTATTCATAGAAAAAAACATGTGTAATTAAAACATAATTTACTTACAGAGTTGCAACATCCCATTTTCTCATGTGAAAAACAAATTTGAATTTGAACAATTTTTCAGTCATTAATTAATGTTTTGTTTTTATTTTATACCTTAAACTAACTATGCAATCATGTATTATCTATTTAAGGGTGACAGTAGTATTAAAGTAAAACCTAAATGTCAATGTTGAAATAAAACAATAGAGTAAGTCAAGGTTGACATAACATAAAATTAAGTTCTTTAATATAGTGTAGTGGGTAGTACAAGTTATGGACTTTGCTGTTATTGATTTTTTAAAAACCAAAACTGAATGGCAAGCATGTTAGAAAATTGATTTAAGACAAATATATTGTCAGGCAAACCTAAATGTCACTCAAAGACAATTTGAATGTCAGGCAAATATGAATTATGGTTAAAGACAAATTTTCTATCAGGCAAATCTGATTTTATTAATGAAAATTTTCCACTCTGGCAAATTTTAATATCAATTTAAGACAAATTTGTTGCCAGGCAAACCTAACTCAAATAATGTGTATTTAGACAATTTTTGCCATTGAATTGGAACAAATTTACCTTCAGACAATTTTAACTAGTATAAGTAAAGACAAATTTACATTCAGGGAAACGTAAATGATTTGATTTATGATCAATTTGCAGTCCGGCATTGCTATTGAATTAAGTTGAGTTTGCAAACTTGTTTGAATTAGTAAATGATGATGCATTTTGTATATATTTTAGTTTTGCAATCAAATTTAGTGGCATCCAGTGGTGCTTCCATGCAGTAATAAAGGCATCAAGAAGTGTGAATTCACTTAATTTCGTGGGCATAAAATTTAATGGTTTATTCAAAAAGAACATTTTTGTTGGTTTTTAAATTTGTGGACTGTTTATTTTTCCAAAAGGTAAAATGTAAATTATATGATGCAAAATTATTTTGGAATCAAATTTTGTTGGATCTTAAATTTCTGGATTTACCGTAACATGAGAATTAGTTCCTTACGAATAAAAATGATTTTACAGTATGTGCCACTTAGGACAAACTAGCAGTCATGCAAATCCAACGCTTGATTTTAATTTGTGAAATCGGCATTATTTATGTAGATTCTGTATTTTATTATTTCAGTTTAGATGATGACATTTTAGAAACAGAGGAAGGGAATTTATCGGCTGTTACTCGTATACAACATATAGCAGACAATATTCTGATCAATGAGTCAGGCAAACTTTTGTTTCTCGTCGAGTTACTTGACAGATTGAAGGTGGAGGGTCATCGGTGCCTCGTCTTCTCACAGTCACGTAAAATGTTAGATATCATGCAAAAAGTCATAACAAACAGGGTAAGAGACTGAGAAATTAAATTAATTGCAGTGACCTTCAGTCTGCTGAATTTGTGTAATGGATTTACCCTGCTTTGAAAGTGGAACAGTACATTCAAATTTTAAGGGATTTCAGTAACAAAATACAAAAAATGTGCAATCAGTAATATAGGGCCTTTTCAGACTGCACAGAGCTTGCCTTGCTGCATGCTGATGGCTAAGACAGGTCACTTTTGGTTCCTGCAGGGGTCTATAAACTTTTAAGTTAATATTCACCTATGTATAACTTTAGTTTAGTTTACACTAAATTATTTTAGTTTGATTGTGTAGGAAGCTGTAAGCATATTGAAACACTCTTGAATCCGTTCCTGGAACTAACCAGTAGTAAGCAATGACTGTAAACTTTCTTGGTCACAAAAACAACAGCTTGCCTCTGAGGGTTTGAACCCATGTGGCCAGCAATCCTTAGATTACTAGTCTGGCGTGTTAACCACTCGGCCCTGCTATCACTCAATATATAACTTTGGGATGCTATTATTTTTTGTATAATTTGAATCTTTAGAATGTGTTGTGAAAATGTGAAAAGTTGATTTTAATGTTTTTCTGCATGTGTTTTATTTGTGAAACAGTTGATTTTAGTGTCCTTTCTAATCAAGCGTTTAATTTGTGAAACAGTTGATTTTAATGTTCTTTCTATGCAAGCGTTTAATTTGTGAAGCAGTTGATTTTAGTGTTCTTTTTATGCAAGCGTTTAATTTGTGAAGCAGTAGATTTTAGTGTTCTTTAATTTGTGAAACAGTAGATTTTAGTGTTCTTTCTATGCATGTGTTTTTATTTGTGAAACACTTGATTTTAGTGTTTTTCTTTAATTTGTGAAACAGTAGATTTTAGTGTTCTTTCTATGCATGTGTTTTATTTGTGAAACAGTTGATTTTAGTGTCCTTTCTATGCAAGCGTTTAATTTTTTTAGTGTATTTCTATGCATGTGTTTATTTTGTGAAACAGTTGATTTTAGTGTTCTTTCTATGCAAGCGTTTAATTTGTGAAACAGTTTATTTAAGTGTTGTTTCTATGCATGTGTTTAAATTTGTGAAACAATTTTGTATTGTTCTATGCATTTGTTTAATATTATGAACAGTTGAATTGTTGATTCTAGTGTTCGTTTATGCAAGTATTAAATTTGTTAAAACAGTTGATTTTAATTGTCCTCCAAGGCATTTGTTTGATTTTTTAAACAGTTGATTTTATTTAAATTTTTTCAGAACTTATCTTGAAGAATTTCACTTTAAAAGATAATTAATTTCTAAATATAAGACCATGTCATTTCAAATTTGAAAGCATTTACTTTTCTTCATCAATGTTGTCTTAAATAGTAGGGGCAAAACAATTTTGTTGTTAACTGTATAAGTATATTGTAATACAATTGTTTTGATATGTTAAAGGGTCACAAGTTAATGAGATTGGATGGAACAATAGCTCATGTACAAGAGAGAGAAAACAGAATACAGAAATTCCAAACAGATTCTTCATACAGTGTTTTCCTGCTCACTACCCAGGTATTTATAGCTTTACTTCAAACACACATTTTCTTAATGCCCCAAGAATTGAAACACTTGTTTTATAATGATAATATGAATTATTATTATTATGATAATGATGAAAATAATAATAATGATAATATCACAAGCAACACAGTTTTGCTTTACAAGCAAAAAGCAACAAACCAATTTTCAGAAATTAATAAATTTTGCACAAATCTTATCTGGCAGGAAAGAATACTTGATGTCACAGGCTTATTTTTTCATTGTCAAGCTATTAAAGATACACAAGTTGTTTATTTCAAAAGATTGGCCACATCAATGGCTATTGAACATATTAAGCTATTGTTGATAATTACAAATGATGAAATATAAAAACTGCCTAAAATGTGTAAGGAATGCCCCACTCTTTTTATAAATTGAACATTACCTATAATTTCAGAAGGATGTTTAAAATTACTTATGTGGTTCAAAAGGGTTTTAAATTCCTCAGATGATGTTTGTTATAAAATTGAAATAAAAATTTTAAGTTATTTTAATTTTATCTGAACACATGCCATTTACTCTTGGATGGGCACAATGATACTTTAAAAGTCAGGGATAAAAAAAGTATTCAAAATTTCTACTCATCCTGCATACTTTAATACTTGTCCAGCATTTTTAAATTGAATTTTAAGATAAACTCGTCCTACTGGACGAGCATACTACGATTTTTAGCTCGACTATTCGATAAGAATAAGTAGAGCTATTGTAGTACTCCGAGCGTCGGCGTCCGCGTCGGCGTCCGCGTCGGCGTAACCACTTATGTTAAAGTTTTTGTAAAAGTTTAAATATTTTCAAAGTCCATTGACATATGGCTTTGAAACTTTGCACACTTGTTCACCATCATTACCCAAACCTGTAAACAGGAGGAGGTAACTGTATCAAGCATTTTGACAGAATTATGCCCTTTTTTCGACTTAGAATTTATGTTAAAGTTTTTGTAATAGTTCAAATATTTTCAAAGTCCATTGACATATGGCTTTGAAACTTTGCACACTTGTTCACCATCATGACCCCAACCTGTAGACAGGAGGAGGTAACTCTATCAAGCATTTTGACAGAATTATGCCCCTTTTTCGACTTAGAATTTATGTTAAAGTTTTTGTAATAGTTCAAATATTTTCAAAGTCCATTGACATATGGCTTTGAAACTTTGCACACTTGTTCAACATCATGACCCCAACCTGTAAACAGGAAGAGGTAACTCTATCAAGCATTTTGACAGAATTATGCCCCTTTTTCGACTTAGAATTTACGTTAAAGTTTTTGTAATAGTTCAAATATTTTCAAAGTCCATTGACATATGGCTTTGAAACTTTGCACACTTGTTCACCATCATGACCCCAACCTGGAAACAGGTGGAGGTAACTCTATCAAGCATTTTGACAGAATTATGCCCCTTTTTCGACTTAGAATTTATGTTAAAGTTTTTGTAATAGTTCAAATATTTTCAAAGTCCATTGACATATGGCTTTGAAACTTTGCACACTTGTTCACCATCATGACCCCAACCTGTAAACAGGAGGAGGTAACTCTATCAAGCATTTTGACAGAATTATGCCCCTTTTTCGGCTTAGAATTTATGTTAAAGTTTTTGTAATAGTTCAAATATTTTCAAAGTCCATTGACATATGGCTTTGAAACTTTGCACACTTGTTCACCATCATGACCCCAACCTGTAAACAGGAGGAGGTAACTCTATCAAGCATTTTGACAGAATTATGCCCCTTTTTCGGCTTAGAATTTATGTTAAAGTTTTTGTAATAGTTCAAATATTTTCAAAGTCCATTGACATATGGCTTTGAAACTTTTCACACTTGTTCACCATCATGACCCCAACCTGTAAACAGGAGGAGGTAACTCTATCAAGCATTTTTTTTAACTATCAAGCACTAAGAATAGTCGAGCGTTGCTGTCCTACCGACAGCTCTTGTTGTACTTGTCCTGAATCAATGTCATCTCATAAATACAAGTACACAAGTGGAATTTTCGATTCCTGCAAAGTGCTACTAATCGTGATTTGATGGCTGCTAGAACTTCAGAGGCAATACAATAAAACAAATTGTTGGTAGCTCAATTTTAGCAATATGCTGTTGACAACAGGTTTGATTTACTAGCAAATACTAAAAAAAGTTAAGCCAATTTGAACGCCGAGTCAAAGTTGTCAGTGTGCAAAAAAAAATTGTGTTGCCCATTATTTTGATATTTCATAAGATATCAATATGAAACTTGGAATACTTGCTTATCATGACCTAGTGCAGCTAGACAAGGGGCACTATTCTGAAAACTATAATTTTATAGAGTTATGCCCCTTTTAACTTACAATTTTTTGTCGAAATTGGTTGCCTTTAACAGACAGGTGTACTGACATGTGTTAACACTTACAGCGGTGCTCTTGTATTACATAGAGGATATTTGTTTGTTTTGCATGTAAGATTGAAATATAATTTCACTGAGTGGACACCAGATGCAATATTTTCACGAGTGGCGTAGCCACGAGTGAAAATATAATAGCTGGTGTTCACGAATGAAATATATTTCAATCTTATATGTAAAACAAATAAATTTTTCTTTTTATTTCATGCTTTGTAAGTGATTTTAAGTATTTTTTACTGATTTTGCCGCGTAACGTCGCGCATTCTCCTTTGTGACGTCATCACGTAATGACGTCACATCATCAATTTTGAAATATACTTCTGTTAAATTTCTCTAATTTTGTTACATTTTTAACATGATGTATGGTGACATCGACTTTCTTTTCCTAAAGGAGCAACATTTTCGTATGAAGGCGTTTATTTCTGCCTGTTATTCCATTTAGTTATGATTTTATTTTCATCCGCATTTAGATATAGTCCGGCTACAGTGAAAATTATATTTTATAAAATTCACTAGTGGTTTATCAGAATATAATCATCTGATATATTACAATAAAACACTGGAAAGCATGAAATAAAATGGCATTTATATATGTAGAAATAAGTTTTATGTCAATTCATTTACATTAATGATAGCGAGATCTATTATCATTGTGTATTATGTTTTATTATATTACAGGTTGGTGGGGTTGGCCTTACACTGACTGCTGCAGACAGAGTGGTTATTTGTATGTTATTTTATAAAACCTTTTTTTTTTTTTTGGTCTCCATTTTGTGTTTTATCAGAGCGAAAAAAAGAAAGTTAAATGAGGAGTAAATCTTTTGTTAAGTTTCAATCCTAAGCCTGTTGGAACCCCAAGTGTTACTGATAAGCCTTTGCTACTGGTATGGAGCCAATCCAGTTTGATCTGTGCTCTTTACTGTTGGTAGCACTTCTATTGTATCTAGGTACTTAAATACCTTACTTTGGATCAGTTGTTAAAAATTCAAACTATTTCTAAAATTTAGCAAGTTAGGCTAATATAACATTCATAACAGCCAAATTAGTCATCCTAAGCATGCCATTGTATAGCATGCAGTTGAAATTTCTGTCATGGATTAAAATAACAAAAACACCTGTCTGATAATTATGTAAGAAATTTTTTCATAACTGTTGTAGCAACAAGTGAAAATATAACTGCTTGTGTTCACCCAGTGAATGTCCATGAAGAAATATAATTCTGTAATATTTTATGAATTTTGTTTCATACTTGATATATATGATTTATGCAAATATTTATGTGCTTCTTGTTATCGATCACATTTTACTTACAACAAATTGTATGTCTCTCAATATTTTCATTTATTTATGATATTTGGCATTCATTTGCATTCAGATATAGTCCGGCCACTATGAAAAATATATAGAGGATAGTCAAGTTTTTTCTATAAATACATGATTTATTTTCATCGAGTGGTATGAAAATAAATATTTCATGAGTGGCTGTAGCCACAAGTGAAATATGGTAATTTTCATGCCGCAAGATGAAAATAAATCATGTATTTATAGAAAAAACTTGAATTTTCTATTTATTATATACATTTTTTTCTTTTTTGACATTAAAATTTAAAAGACTTTCCCTTAAATTTTGTGTACTGGCAGAATTTAAAAGAAAGTAGTCTGGCAAGACACCAGTGAAAATACGGAAAATATGTTTCACTGCAGTGAAAAATAAATTTTTACAGTGAAAATACGGAAAATGAAAATACACATTTTATTTCATCAATATTTCATTTATAAGTATATAATAAATTTTGATACTTCCACTGTGAAATTATCAAATGAAATTATGTGAAAATATAATATATATTCAATTCAGTTGATCCAAGCTGGAATCCGGCCACAGATGCTCAGGCTGTCGACAGAGTATTCAGAATAGGTCAGGACAAGAATGTGGTCATCTATCGACTTATTACATGCGGAACTGTTGAAGAGAAAATATACAGACGTCAAATCTTCAAAGATTCAATAACTAGACAAACAACAGGGAATGCGAAAAACCCTTACAGGTTTGCATTATATTGCATAAAATTTGCTAATGTTTAAGATAAATGGTCAAGAAATAAGCATTTAAAATGCTGGGTCTATCTATGTGCTTGTAGGTCATTGAATGATGCACAGGAGTGGATCTGAGACCTACCAGTGTGGAGTGTCAATTAGGAAACATCAATTTCAGCATATAAGTGTAGAATAATGCACAGTTTAAGTATATAAGTGTAGAATAATGCACAGTTTAAGTTCTGAGAAAAAAAAAAATAGAAATGTTGGTTTTCTGACAGTTTGGGCAGCCTAAAAGGACATGTGGGTTGTGTTTAAAAGCCAAATTATAATGTGATTTAAGTGATGTAAATTTGCTTATCGCTGCACAGATGACCGTCAGTCAGAGAATTGCCCAAGTGTTCAGCCATCATACATGTACATGGAATATTGAATGAATAAATTTTCTATGTGTGTCAGTGCCTGCAATCAAGGCTACCTGGGTTTTTATGACAGATGGCTAATTTTTTGTTTCTCGTATTGAGATTGAATTCCTTCTCTGTGACTTACCTTTCAATTTCATTTTCCCTACTTCTTGTTTAGTTACATGTAATAGAAAATAGATGTATCTTTATTCAAAGTTTTGATAAATTACTTTGATGGTTGTCTGGAATTGTAGTAGTTTTCCCTTAACTCACCCAGCATTCATAAGTGCTAGCAGATATGTAACGCTTGCACTTGGAAATACTAGGAAAACATTGGGATATTCATCACTCATGTCATATTGTACTTGGCCATCTTTGCTTTTTCTAGATGTTTTCTTGTTTTGATATTGCTTGTGTTATGTTCTTCTTCATTTTGAATTGTTGCATGTTTTAATAATTTTGTTAGAATTTGATCTTTGGATCCAGAGTTTAATGATCTGTTTTGCTGAAGATGATAAAATCTTTGTCCCTCCCCCGGCATACATAAGTGCTAGTTGGTTATTATCACACAAGCACTTGTGAATACCAAGAGACGATGCAAAAAACTAATCTTCCATGGCACTATGTGAGGACACTTCCTTCTGGATACTATGTGCTAAAATCCTGTCACAGTTGTCTTATAATTCCATGTCAGGAAGTTTTCCATCTTTGTAGTATGTTGGTGCTGTGACACTGAGTTCGACTTACTTTAAAATAATGCATGGATCAGCAATTGTGGCCTCTGTTGACTAGAGAAGGTGATTAGTTGTCATGCCATAAATATAGTTGTTATAAACATGGCTGCTCCTAAGACTCATCCACCATCGAGGTTGTTCTGTTCCCACTTTTCCCCCAGCATTCGTAAGTGCTAGTAAACAATATAAACTTGCACTTAGTTATACTAGGAGAAACTAGGGACATTATAGTCCTTTTCTTTCGCTGAAAAACATTCAATGGATGGTCCACCATTTCATTATCCTGCGCTGTTTGTACCTGATGCATTTTGAGACTTATATGATCAGATCACAAACTTACTGCTTTGGTTATTGTCGATTGTTAAGACTTGAAAATTTGTGTCATTCTGCATTCATCTATTAAGTCTTGTACTTCCTATTCCATGTGTACTAACAACGGACCAACAGAAATTGTTACAAACTGGCTTTCTTGTGTTATTTTGTTGAAAAGTCCCCCCAGCATTTACAAGTGCTTGTATACAGTTCACACATGCACATGGAAATACGAGGTGACCTAAAGCAACCTTATTTTAAGACTTGAAATAACCCCTCTCCAAGTTCAGCCATACGGATCTTGATGAATATTCTATCATATTCTGTGAAGTGATTTAAGAAATCATGGTTATGAACACAATTAAATATTTGCTGATTTACAGCATAGCATATTCCTGGATTCTTCCTTGATGTGCATCACCAATGAAATTTGTGATTTTTGTAGGTACTGTCAACTTTGGTGTTTGCTGGTGGTTTCTTTTAATTTTGGCAAATGCTGGTTATTTTACTTTTGATTTCTTGCAGCTTCTCTCCTGTTAGATGATTTCTGTAACATTTTGTTGATTATGTATTGTTCTTCCCCCAGCATACATAAGTGCTAGTCAATTTCATATACCTGCACTTTTGAATACCAGGAGAAGATTTTCATACTCATCTGTTTGTTGATATGTTGGTACTTCCTGTAGATATCATGTAGAAATAGTTAACATCTCCCCCAAGCATACATAAGTGCTTGTTGTGAAATAATACAGGCACTTTTGAATACTGGGGAAAAGTTTAACTGTATGACTCAGTCAGAGAAATTTCATTTGTTTCTTGATCTTTTGTAACAAAGGTCCAATTTGGATTGTGTTTTCTGTATGTCCTGTGATGACAAGGTGTTTTGTCTTGTAACTTGGTTATATTTATTGCAATGCTGCTGTAACCAAGGTTGAACTTGACTGCAGCATTATCTTCCATACCTATTATATACATGTCAACTATGACAGTGTCTTCTGTAACTAATGCAAAACTGTGATATGTCTTCCATAACTAAAGCTTTTCTCTTGAAGCATCATCTCTATCTGCCATAATCTGGAGTCATTGTCTATATATCCCCCCAGCATCTATAAGTGCTAGTTATAAATTCACACTTGCACTTGTGGATACAGGGAAACCATAGATTAGTGTTAAAAGTGTTTTTCAAGAAATCACCAGGATATTCCCTCCATTTCCAGTTTTTTACTGTGGCGCCTTTGAGGTATCTGAGGAATTGAGAGCTAAGACATGCCCCTAGCATTTCTAAGTGCTAGCACAATATGATAAGCAAGCACATTGGAAAGGCAGGGTCACAGCTTCTTAATTTCTTGCTGACTGAAGTTGTATTCCTTCGTATGTTGTAAACATTGGTTGTCTCCCCTGTAAATGTAATCTTAAGCAATGTAATTTGCATCTGAAAAAATTGAATATTTCCTGTGATTAAATTTGGTTTTGTCATGTTACCTCCCCCCAGCATTTATAAGTGCTTGCACAGTGTTCAAGCGAGCACATTAAAAATACAGGGAAAGGTAGTATGCCATAATATGCCAGCAGTTAAAAGTTGAATTCGGTCCTCTATAATTTCTCTTCCATAATCATAAACAAATTTCATCCTTTCCATATGAGTTCTTCAATGTTGAGCATCTAACTGTATATAATAATTTAAGTCCTTTTTGCTTTATTTCATCTTACACTGTTTATCTTGGTTTTCTCCCCTTAATCCATTGTAAGGTCCTGTTTTCTCCCCTGAATACTTATGATTTCCCCCTGAATACTTATGATAAATCCATTGTAGTCTTGGTTCTCCTGTCCTCTGTTAAATCCATTGTGTGTGTGTTAGAAATGTAAACCTGGCATTAAATTGGTGCAAGAATTTTTTCTACCTGTACCAAATTTAATAACAGGATACATAAATCTAACTATTCTATTTTATGTTTTTAATTTACTTAATTAATTTAACACAGAATTATACCAAAATAAAATAAAGGTTTCAATCCATAAATAAATAAATGTAAAAAAATCCTTATGGGTTTTGAACAAAATTAAAATCATATTTGAAAAAAATTAAATCTTAAAAAAATTCTTAACTTCAAAATAGATCCTTCAGGCATGCTTGACCAGTATCAATTGACCATATCATAAAATTTTCAGATTATTATCTAGCCTAATTTGCATACTTGTCAATCAAAATATTATACATGTTGTCAAAACAATTAAACATGACAAGTGGCATGTCAAATATGATATCTCAATTATACATTCCTGGTACTGAATAAACAATGCCAGTGTCAAAATACAAATTTCTTAGAATTGTGTACTGTCAAAATATGTGATAAATGTAATAAAAATAATATTCTGTAACAATGATATATTACTTAAGTGATTAAAGAATGATTTTGAATAAAAAATTTAATAATTAGATTTAATTATCACAAATATTACAAGTAAATAAACTTTTGAATAATTCTTTGTTTTAAAAAGTGACTTTATAATCCAGACTTCAATTTTCCAAAATAAATGAATAGAAATAATATAATGGTTGATTTAAAATTTAGTTGTTACTTCAGAACTTAAAATAGAACAATTAATTTAAAGGGTTTTTTATAATGTTGAAGACATTGATAGAGCATTTCATTTTTTTTGTAACTTCTGTTAAAAAATTCCCTAGATTTGTTAATATCGCAGCATAGGTTAATCTCTCTTAGATTTATTAGCTTTAAATAAGATACAAATTCAATGCTAGTTTTTTAGGTCAAAACAAAAAGAATTTTTAATGACAATTTAATAAAATTGAAGAATGTAATCAAACATTTGTACAAAATAGGATTTTTATGCCCCCGCCATGTAATGGCCGGGGCATATAGTGTTACCCTGTTCCGTCATTCCGTCCTTCCGTCCTTCCGTCCTTCCATCCTTCCGTCCTTCCGTCCTTCCGTCATTCTGTCATTCCGTCATCATCAGTTTCCGTTCATTATCTTAAGAACGGTTGGGCATATTCAACTCAAATTTGACATATGGATATGTCATGAGAAAATACAGGTCAAGTTTCGAATTTGGTCATGGTTCGATGATTTTTGGCAGAGTTATGCCCCTTTTACTTTAAAAAAAATATGAAATTTCAGTTTCCATTCATTATCTTAAGAACGGTTGGACACATTCAATTCAACTTGACATATGGATATGTCATGAGAAAATACAGGTCAAGTTCGAATTTGGTTATGGTTCGATGATTTTTGGCAGAGTTATGCCCTTTTACTTTGAAAAAAAATATGAAATTTTCAGTTTCCGTTCATTATCTCCCAATGGTACAACACAATCAACTCAAACTTGACATATTGATATGTCATGAAAAATACAGGTCAAGTTCGAATTTGGTCATGGTTCGATGATTTTTGGCAGAGTTATGCCCCTTTTACTTTGAAAATAATATGAAATTTTCAGTTTCCATTCATTATCTCCCTCAAGGTACAACACATTCAACTCAAACGTGACATATGGATGCGTCAAAGGAATGCGCAGGTCAAGTTTCAAATTTGGTCATGG